TGGCGCATTATCCCTTTGCCATTTCCTCGATGCTTCTCATCTTTCTCCTTCATTTGTCTCCTGTCATTACTGACGGGGTTCAAAGCGCTTRATGTGAAGGCTGCTGCACGAAGAACCGCTTCCCACCAGAGCATCTTTCAACAAAGAGGCAAAACATGCATAAATTGCTTTAATTAGCACATCTAATATTAGATAGCGTCTGAAATGCTGTGGAGTGGAATTGAATTAATAGCTGAATCCGCAATAAGGCAAGCGCGCTTGGACTGTAATATTAATGCTTCTAAGCTAAAATCTTCCGATGCACCTTCCATGTTTTACATTCACCTTCGAAAACTCAAAATGAAGCATAAGATTTGACATTTCGAATGAATTTTGGTTCCCTCACATCACCCAAATGGACTTCTTTCAGCTTGTCGCATCCCCGRGAGTCTTCAGTCTTGGATGTGAGCAGGTTGATCAAAGGCGTGTGTGAGCACCACGGCCTCAGGACTGACCTTGTGATTATAGAGAGTGGGTCATATAACATTACCTTCATTAGGCAGAGTTTGACACTGGAATGTGGGCTTTCAAAGCATCTTGAGCATTTTGACAGTAAGTCTCATTAGCTAGTTGGAGAACATGTGGAGGATGACGAGCAGAGAACTCACCATGGTGATACAAACCATCCAGAAGAGTTACCAAGAGAGTATTTTAAAAATGTAAGCTTGTTTTTTTTTATGCTGTGAATGTGAAGATTACTTTTTCAATGGTTTCTAAGGCAAAGGAAAATTATTTTTGCCTCATGTCATAATGAGACAAGCTAGGAAATGTTTATAATTTTAAAAATGCTGATATGTGGTCCATTATCTTCCATTTTCAAAGCTTAAAAGCAACATAGCTTTGTTTCAGAGACTCAGCCACACAGTGAGATAATCAAAGCTTGAAAAAGAAGCTGCATTCGGCCATCATGGCAAACTGGAGTGAAACAAACAAACAAAAAATCTCCAAGAGCCTTACACCTCWGAAATGCTAAATGAGGAATTGCTTGGCAATTTTGTGTCCTGGGCAAGACACCAGCCTGTCTGTYTTATTGGCAACTGAGAACTGGCTGCAAACTCTTAAAATTGCATGATTACATGGTTTCTAGAAATGTAAAAAAGGTAACATTCGGCTCCGTTGCTGGGGCTAATACGAGCTGATTTTCCCATTTCTTGTACATGAACCGTGCAGTCAGCACATGGTCTGCATGGTGGGGCAGTTGGTTAGCGCTGTGGCAGCTCCAATCTCCAGGTTCTTTGGTTTCWTCTCACAGTTCATGCTAGGTTCGATGGCTACTTTAAGTTGTCACTGGTGTGTGTGGGTGAATGGCTGTCTGTCTCATTTGTCTTTAGTAGATCTGACCTGTCACCTGTTCCAGGTGTGCTCCACCTATTGCCCATTGACCACTGGTGTCAGGCAGCAGCTCCTCATGACCCCAAACAGGAAGAAGCAGGTACAGGAAATGGGTGGATGATAGAAAGGTCACGGTTCAAATCCCTGAATCAGAACATAAAATGTGGGTGGGGGAATTGAAGCACCCACACCTGACTTCACTCTTAGTTGCCCCACAGTGGGCGCTTGAGCCCTAACTCCCCACCTGCTCCTTATTTGGCAGCCCTCTGCTCCACATGTGCTTGGGCATGCCTCCAAGCTATTGGCATGCAATTTTAAAATATTAGTTTTGATTATTTTGGCAGAGTAATAAAAAAATGTGTCAACAGTGATGGCACAATCAAAAATTAGTTGTATTGAATGATTGGGTATTAGATGGGCTTTGGTGCTTCACAGTTRATAACACAGACTTTTCAGTTGTAATATACATAAAATACAATGTTTTGGCAGCTGTAGTGTAAGGTTTTTAGAGTTATAATCACTTATCAGTTCTGCTGTTAGCTGCACCAGACTGTCAGGATGAAAGAGTTGTGTCAGCTAAAGGGCAGTTTGAACTGGTGTTAAAAATGTCCTGATGCATCTCAGTAATCCAGGTAAAAAATCTAAAGGAAAAAAAATTGCATAGGTCCTCTGGACGGGTTCTTCTTTAATGAAACGTTTCGGATGGAGGACGGTTGGAAACTGGCGTATATCGTAAGCCCACCCACACAGACCAA